GCATCAACTCTTCTTCCATCTTCCTTATTCATTGTCCATCTTTCACATGCAGATGAGGCTATTGAAAATACCATGGCTTGGGGTAGGCACCCTTTAGTCTTCAAAGAGATATCTTTGCTCTTCAGCACTTGAAAGAGATCTTCTGCAGCAGATTTGTCAGTGCAATGTGACATCTGATTTCCTGACTGCTACTTCAATTGGTGTTGATTGTGGATCCAAGTAATATGAAATCTTTGACAACTGCAAACTTTTTTCCATTTGTTGTGATGCTGCTGATTGGTCCAGTTGTGAGGACTTTTGTTTTCTGTATGTTGAGGTGTAATCCATACTGCAGACTGTAGTCTTTAATCTTCATCATCAGTAAGTGCTTCAAGTCATCTTCACTTTCAGCAAGCAAGGCTGTGTCGTTTGCATATCACAGGTTGTTAATGAGTCTTCCTCCAATCCTGACGCCACACTCTTCTTCATATAATCCAGCTTCTTGGATTATTTGCTCAGCATGAAGATTGAATAATTATGGTGGAAGGATACAGCCTTGACACACTCTCTTCCTGATTTTAGATCATGCAGTATTCCCTTGTTCTGTTCAAATGACAGCTTTCTGGTCTATGTACAAGTTCCTCATGAGCATGATTAAATGTTCTTAAATTGCTTAAATGCTTTTGCATAGTCAATGAAACACAAGTAAACATCTTTCTGGTATTCTTTGCTTTCAACCAAGATTCATCTGACATCAGCAATGATATCTCTCATTTCACATCCTCTTCTGAATCCAGCTTACATTTCTGAAAGTTCCCTGTCAATGTATTGCTGCAACCATTGCTGAATTATCTTCAGCAAAATTTTACTTGCGTGTGATATTAATGATATTGTTCAATAATTTTCACACTTTGCTGCATCACCTTTCTTTGGAATGGGTAGAAATATGTCTTCCAAATTTCTTGGCATAGACGGGTGAGTGCCTCCAGTGTGGCATCCCTTTGTTGAAACATCTCAATGTTTATTTCATCAATTCCTGGAGCTTTGTTTTTCTCACATTCCTTCAGTGCAGCTTCCACTTCTTCCCTTAATACCATTGGTTCTTGATCATGTGCCACCTCCTGAAATAGATGAATACTGACCAATTCTTTTTGGTACAGTGACTCTGTGTATTCCTTTCATCTTCTTTTGATGTTTTCTGCATCAGTCAATAAATTACCCATATAATCTTTCAATATTGCAACTTGAGGCTTGACTTTTTCTTCAATTCTTTTAGCTTGAAAAATGCTGAATGTGTTCTTCCCTTTTTGATTTTCTAATTCCAGGTCTTTCCACATTTCATTGTAATAACTTACTTTGTCTTCTAGAGCAGCTCTTTGAAATCTTCTGCTCAGCTTTTTTATCTTGTAATTTCTTCCTTTTGCTTTCTTTATGTATGATGTTCTTGATGCATTCCACAGTTCATGTGGCTTTCGGTCACTGGTGTTCAATGCGTCAAATCTATTCTTTAGATGGTCTCTAAATTTAGGTGGGATATAATCAAGTCATATTTTTGTCTCTTATGGATTTGTTTTAATTTTCTCCATCTTCAATTTGAACTTTCATATGAACAGCTGATGGTCTGTTCCACAATCAGCTCCTGGCCTTGTTTTGGCTGAAGATACTGAGCTTCTCCACTGTCTCTTTCCACAGATGTAGTCTATCTGATTCCTGTGTTTTCCATCTGGCAAAGTCCACATCTGTAGCCATTGTTTATGTTGTTGAAAAAAGGTATTTAAATGAATTAGTCATTGGTCTTGCAAAATTCTATCATGTGCTCTCCGGTGTCATTTCTATCATTTAGACCATATTTTCCAAATACTGGAGATTCTTCCTTGTTTCCAACTTTTGCATTCCAGTCACTAGTAATAATCAGCACATCTTGATTGTGTGTTTGGTCAATTTCAGACTCAGAAGTTGGTAAAAATCTTCAAGTTCCTCGTCTTTGGCTTTGGTGGTTGGTGCGTAAACTTGAATAATAGTATTATTAATTGGGAGCTCTGGTAGCATAGTGCCTAAGGCACTTGACTGCTAACCAGGAGGCTGGTGGTTCAAACCCACCAGTCACTCCTCGGAAGAAAGGTTGGGCAATCTACTTCTGTAGTGATACTGCCTCAGAAACCCAAGGAGGGGTCACTATGAGTCACTGATTTGACAGCACATAACAACAACAACAAATTATTAATTGTTCTTCCTTGTAGACATATGGATATTATCTTATCACTGATAGCATTGTATTTCAGGACAGATCTTGAAACATTCTTTGTGATGATGAATGCCTTGCCATTCCTGTTCCATTTGTCATTCCCAGCATAGTAAATCATATTGTTGTCTCATTCAAAATGGGCAAAACCAGTCCATGTCTGCTCACTAATGGCTAGTGTATCAATCTTTACCTTCCATTTCATTTTTGTCAACTTCCAATTTTCCTAGATTCATACTTCGTGCATTCCATGTTCTGATTACTAATGGATGCTTGCAGCTATTTCTCCCTATTTTGAGTTGTGCTACATCAGCAAATGGAGGTTCTTAAAGCTTTACTCCATCCAAGTCATGAAGGTTGATTCCACAGCTCTTCCACAGTTGTATTTTGAGTGCCTTCCAAACTGAGGGGCTCATCTACCAGCACTATGTTGGACAATGTTTCAGGGCTGTTCATCAAGTTTTCCAGTAATATAAAGTATTTCATTGCTATTCATAAGGTTTCCACTGGCCAATTCTTTGAGAAGTGGATGGCTCTTTCCTTCTTACCTCTATTTTAGTCTCTATTTTCAGACACTAGCTGGAGGAAAGAAATTAAGCCACTTAGTTATGCCCATGTGAGAAAGCTTTTCTAACTATCTCTGGGTAAGATGTAAGGAAGGCTTAACTAAAAATAGTGCCAAGTCTGTACAGAATAACTGATAAAGAGAAAGAGGTAGAGACAGGAGGCAGAAGAGACAGAACACACCAGCTACTGTAGAATCATAAACCAAGAAGTGACTCTGGAGCCAGATGGCCAGTTATGAATTCCAGCTTTATGACACTTACTAGCTTGTGTGACTTTGGGCAAGTTGCTAAACATTTCTGGGCTTGAGCTTTTTCATTCATAACATGGGGATGTTATGGATTGAATTGAGTGTCCAAAAAGTATGTGTCAACTAGGCTAGGCCATGATTCAAAGTATTACCATCTTGGAAACCCAAGGAGGGGTTGTTGTGAGTTGGAAACTGCTGATGCTGCAGTTTTGATCGAATGTCATAATCCTGTGTGTTGTAAATCCTAACATCCCTATTATTGACATAGGAGTAGAGGGAGTTATGTTAATGAGGGAGGATATAATCTATAAGATTTAGTTGTATTTTGAGTCAGTCTCTTCTGAGTTATTAAAGAGATTAAACTAGTAAGCAGAGATCAGAGGGACCTACTACCATCAAGAAGGAAGAGGTAGGAGCAAGGCGTGTTCTTTAGACCCAGAATCCCTGCTCTGGGAACTCCTGGATGCAGGGGAAGATTAATGCCAAGACACTTAGAAGTCTCCAAGGAACACTGGCCCCACAGTTGGTGGAAGGAGACAAGGACCTTCCTCCTAAACTGTGAGCCAACAGAGAGAGAGCCTTCCCTTAGAGCTGGCACATTGAATTTGAACTTCTAGCTTCCTAAACTGTGAGAGAATAAATTTCTGTTTTTATAACACCATCCACTTGTGGTATTTCTACTATAGCCACACCGGGTAACAGGGTCTTAAAGAGTAAATTATTCATATGTCTTGTGAGTATTAAATGAGTTAAAGAGTGTCTGGCATGTTGGTGGTATTGCTGCTATTAGTTGACATCAAGTTGGCTCTACCTCATGGCAACCTTATGTATAACACAATGAAGTGATGCCTAGCCCTTTGCTTTCTTCATGATTCCTGGGATGTTTGAGTCCATTATGTCAATCCATCTCACTGAAAGTTCCCCTTGTTTTTGTTGACCCTCTACTTTACCAAATATGATGTAATTTTAGCAATTTGTCTTTCCTGGTGACATGTTCAAAGCAAATGAGTCGAAGTTTTGTCATCCTCACTTAGGATATTCTGGTTGTATTTCTTCTAAGAATAATTTGTTCTTTTACCAGTCCACTGTATAGTCAATATTATTTGCAAACACCACAATTTGAAGACATCAGTTCTTCTTCTGTCTTCCTTTTTCACTGTCCAACTTTCACATTTGTATTAAGAAATTGAAAAGATTATTATGGCTTGGGTCAGATGCATCTTAGTCACCAATGTGGCATAAAACAAAAAGAAAACCTTTAATAAATTTTAGTTTTTCCATTATTCAGATTTTACTAAAGTGGAATTCATGACAGTCTACCTCAAAAGGCACTTCCTGTCTGATTCCTGTTGACAGAATAAAAGGCACAGGAATTGAAAGTTAAAATTCTTTGTGAAACTTATACTAAGTCTTATGAAATTTTGAGCATCTTTTGAATTTTACAGACATCACAGTACTTGTGGTGTTAGATGAACTGGAATATTCCTGAAGATCAGAATAAAAGAAGTTTTATTTTAAAGCCTTGAATTTCTCGAGCCCATTGATTATGACAACCATACATACTAGATTTTCTGAGTAAGTCTTGATTTAAAATTAAGTTTCACTGTTCCCATAAGCACATTCACATTTGTCATATCTTAGTTAAGGAGCTCTGGTGGCACTGCGGTTAAGGCATTGGGCTGCTAACCAAAAGGTTGACAGTTCAAACCCACTAGCCATTCTCAGGAGAAAGATGAGGCTATCAGCTTCTAGAAAGATTTATAGCCTTGGAAACACTATGGGTGTTTGTATGCGCTGGAATCGACTTAATGGCACTGGGTTTGATTTTTGGTTTGGTACATTCAAATTATTCAGAAAAGGTGGTCTTTGCATCTTAAATATGGCCAATTAAGGGCCAGCCCAACTGGGAAGTAGATCTTAGGAGAGAAAGAATATGACATGTCAGCACTTTCTCTCTCCTAACAGATCCAAGGCTTTTCCATCAAGGGAGGAGAGTTTGCCAAGGCCCGAGATTGCACCTCTTCCTTCTCACCAGCCATTCTGATTGGGCTGGCAATGTCCCTGATTCTGTTGCTGGCATTGGCCTCTGCCCTGCATACACTCATTTACCTGCGGGATCTTGACCGGCACTACGATTTTATCGCCTCTCCTTCCCACTTCTCACGGTTGAAAGCTCAAGATGTAGCAGAAGAGAAGGAACTGCTGAGGAGCCAGGGACTTGAATGCTATGAACTGAGAAGCCAACAGATCTGCAAAATTTATGTTTAACAGCACATGCCTCTCTCTCCTTCCTGGCATCCACACTGAGTCTGACTTGAGTTGTTTCTATTGTTCTTTGCTGTTTGATTTGTGCATTAAATATTTCCCTAAATAACTTGATTAATAGCAACAACAAAAACTTAAATGCTTAATGAATTGCTTTTGAAGCATCCATGGGCTTATTTAGATAGACTGGAGCAATGAAAAAGACTTTCTAGGAATTCTGCAGGACCTTTTTTCTTTCTTTCTTTTTTTTTTTTAAAAATAGTTTCCTCAAAGCTCTCTTGAAAACAAAAAGATGTTTCAGGTTACTAGTGCCATTAAGTCAACTCTGACTCATGATGACACCATGTGTGTCAGAGCAGAACTGATACAGAGGGTTCTCAATAGCTGATTTTTCAGAAATAGATCACCAGGCCTTTCTTTGGAGGTACCTCTGGTGGACTTGACTCACTAACTTTCTGTTAGTTGAACACCTTGACTGTTGTACCCCACAGAGACTCCTTGTTTCAAATCAGGAGAACCAAAATGAACAAACAAACAAAATGCAGTACAGTGAAGGGAAAACAAACACACTTGGTTCTCCTTGCCTATGCCAGTTTGGATGTGCTAAGTGTAGAAATAAGCCCAAGATTATCTGAAAGTTCAGAATTTAAGATATTTTGTAACATAGCTTGTACTTTTCAGAAATTATGTTACAACTTTTTTTTTTCCTCTTTCACAAGAATGTTTAGGGAAGACTCCTGTCCAATATAGTGTAATACTTGGAAGAAAGGTTGGGTAATCTACTTCCATTGTGATACTGCCTCAGAAACCCAAGGAGGGGTTGCTATGAGTTGGATCGCACTCGAGGGCAGTGTGTTTTGTTGTTCTTGCCATTTGCTTTACCATTCAGAGGTAGCCCAGCCCAATCTCTGAGGTTGGAGTAATAATCTTGATGGAATTGTACCTTTTTCATCTGGTGGTGATACCAGAGGTTGTCTGATTTTTGTGTTTCAGACCTTTATAGGCTCCCTTAGCTACCACTTGAAATAAACACCTGAATTAAGTAAGAACAGTGTGCTTGCTATGCAAACACAGCTTCAAGGCAAATTCTTTCCAATGATATAGCACTCCCCAAACTCTCCTTTAATAGAGTTTGGAGCCACCGTGGTTTGTCTCACCACCACTTTCTATGTGCCATATGGATTTCCTCATACTACTCTGCAGTTATTGGAAGATACTGAATACTGGCCCACTCTGCACACTCACCAACTCTTCTTTAATATGCTGTTTTGGTTAACTAGTGGTGCTCTGACAGGAATATACCACAAATAGATGGCTTTACCAAATAGCAGTTTATTCTCTTATGGTTCTGAAGGCTAGAAGTCTGAGTTCAAAGTGCAAAGCTCTAGGGGCTGGATAAAAGCCCCTCAGCCTTGGGCTTCAGCTCTACCTCCTGCTCCTGGCCCACAGAAATAGTAGGATTTCTTCACTCAGACAGTTGCTGGCTGCTGAGGCTGACAAACCCAAGATCAACAAGTAAAAAGACAGTCCCAATATCGCCAAACCACACAGCAGTCCATTAATCGATTCAAGTCCATTAAAAGTCCCATGATTGGTAGACAACATGGTAGGCAGTTGAATAACGACTCAGATAGGTGGAAGATTCAAGCATGCCAAAGCTAGAGACCGTTCACAAAGCTGCTGCTTATATATGGGAAGCAGACCACATCCCTAAAGCAGCTACTCAGTTGCTCGTGGCAGATTCCACCATGGAGCTGATTACTGGTCTCATCATGGGGAATAACCACCATCAGCTGCCCAGCCACTCAACTAGGCCCAGTCAAGTTGACATATAACCTTTACCACACATGCCTTCTTTGTTACAGAGCTCTTGAATGTAATGTTTCCCTAAGCAGGATTCCCTACATGACCTAGGCTCTACGAAGAAGATACCCTTGCACAAAACTCAGAATGCAGACATGAACAATACAGGCGGGAGGAGGAGGTAAGGCATGGAAGAAATGGATCTTCTAGGCTGCTGTGGTGATGGGTCTACTGTCTAACCTTGTGTCTTAGGTGCCAAACAATGGATGGTAATGAGCAGTGTTTCTTCCAGAAGTCTCATGTTGGGTATTTTTCCTGGCTACATTATTGGCAGTGAATGTAGGTTTTTTTCTAGCCCTATCAGAATTCTGTAAGTTCCCAATGCTCTAAAATAAATTCCTTTCTGCTTTATTACCTGGAGTAGATTTTATGGCCTTGAACTAAAAATCTTGACTTATGTAGTTATTAATACCAGAGATGATTGCAGGGAACAGATCCTGAAGAAAATGGGGATCTAGGTTTTATTATCTAACTCTGGCTTAAAACCAATGGGGACACTGTTGTTGTTGTTATGTGCCATCGAGTCGGACCCAACTCATAGAGACCACTCCTTGCGTTTCCGAGGCAGTATCACTATGGAAGTAGATTACCCAACCTTCCTTCCGAGGGGACACCGTTAGCACTACAGAATGGGAAAGTGATAATCCAGATCATTCTCTAAGAAACAGATTATTAATGTAGTTGCCTTGAATGAAGTGCGTAATGGTAGTATGAATGGCTGTGTAATAGACTATGTTGTTGTTGTTAGGTGCCGTCGAATCATCTCCGACTCATAGCGACCCTACGTACAGCTGAATGAAACACTGCCGGGCCCATTGCCAGCTCCTGGAGGTATGTTGTTGCTGTTGTTGTTATGTGCCATCGAATCAGACCCGACTCCTAGCGACCCCTCCTTGGGTTTCTGAGGCAGTATCACTATGGAAGTAGATTGCCCCATTGTCCTTCTGAGGAGTGGCTGGTGGGTTTGAACCACCAGCCTTCTGGTTAGCAGTCAAGTGCCTTAGGCACTATACTACCAGAACAGGGGCTATACCTGAGCCTATCGTTGCAGGGACTGGGTCAGTCCGTCTCTTTGAGGGCCCTCCCCTTTTTCGTTTGACCCTCCACTTTACCAACCATGACACCCTTCTCCAGGGAATGGCTCCTTCTGACAATATGACCAAAGTAGATGAGACGAAGTCAGGCCATTCTCACTTCCAAGGAGCATTCCAGCTGCACTTCTTCCGGGATAGATTTCTTAGTTCATTTTAGCAGTCCATTGGTGCTTTCAACACCACAGCTTAAAAGCATCGACTCTTCTTTGATGTTCCTCATTCATTGTCCAGCTCTCACATGCATATGAGGTGATTGAAAACACTGTGGCTTGTGTCAGGTGCATCTTGGTCTTCAAGGAGATATCTTTGCCCTTCAGCACTTGAAAGGATTCTTTGCAGCCCATTTACCCAGTGATATACATTGTCTGATATTTTGACTGCTGCTTCCATTGGTGTTCATTGTAGAACCAAGCAATATGAAGTATTTGACAACTTCAATCTTTTCTCCATTTATGGTGAGGTTGCTTATTGGTCCAGTTGTGAGGATTTTTGTTTTTTTTTTACTGAGATGTAATCCATACTGGAGATTGCTTTCTTCAGTTTTCGTCAGTAAGTGTTCAAATTCTCCTCACTTTCAGCAAGCAAAGTTGTGCCAGCAGCATATCTCAGGCTGTTAATGAGTCTTCCTCCAGTCCTGATGCCATGGTCTTCTTCATATAGTCCAGCTTGTCAGATTATTGCTCAGCCTAGAAATTGAATAAGTATGGTGAAAGGGTACAACCCTGTTGCTCCCTTCTTAATTATCAACCATGCAATGTCCCCTTGTTCTGTTCAAACTGCCTCCTGGTCCATGTACAGTTTCCTCATTGAATTGTACTTCAATTAAGTGTTCTGGAATTCCCATTCTTCTCAATGTTATCCACAATTTATTATGATCCACACAATCTAATGCTTTTGCATAGTCAATAAAACACAAGTAGCATCTTTCTGGTATTCTTTTTTTGAGCCAAGATACATCTGATATCAGCAATGATATCCCTTGTTCCCCATCCTCTTCTGAATAAAGCTTACATTTCTGGAAGTTCTCTGTTAATATACTGCTGCAACTGTTTTTGAATTATCTTCAGTAAGATTTTACTTGCATGAAATATTAATGATATTTTTTTATAATTTCCACATTATGTGGGATCACCTTTTTTTTTTGAATGGGTACAAATATGGATCTCTTCCAGTCAGTTGGCAAGGTAACTGTCTTCCAAATCTCTTGGCATAGCTGAGTAAGTGCCACCAGCATGTCATCCATTTGTTGAAATATCTCAATGGGTGTTCTGTCACTTCCTGGAGTCTTGTTTTTTTCTTGCCACTTTTTCAGTGCAGCTTTGATTTCTTTCTTCAATACTGTTGGTTCTTGATCATGTGCCACCTTCTGAAATAGATGAACATCAACCAATTCTTTTTGGTATAGTGACTCTGTGTATTTCTTCTATCTTCTTCTGATGTTTCCTACATCATTCAATATTTTGCCCATAAAATCTTTCAATATTGCAACTTGAGGCTCAAATTTTTTCTTCCATTCTTTCAGCTTGAGAAATGCCAAGCATGTTCTTCCCTTTTGGTTTTCTAACTCCAGGTCTTTGTACATTTCATTAGAATAATTGACTTTGTCTTCTTGAGCTACTCTTTGAAATCTTCTGTTCAGACCTTTTGTCTTGTCATTTCTCCCATTTGTTTTAGCTACTCTCTGTTCAAGGGCAAGTGTCAGAGTGTCTTCTGACATCCATTTTGGCCTTTTCTTCCTTTTCTGTCTTTTTAAATGACCTTTTGCTTTCTTCATTGATGATGTCCTTGATGTCATCCCATATATAATTCCTCTGGTTTT